TTTCTTAGGTTGTTTGAACTCTATACGAGTCAATTTAAGAAACGAGGCATGATGAATGTGGGGAGTGAAGGGCTGGGTTAGCCCCACTTTAGTCAAGCGTAGAAGCTCTCGCACGGCTCGCGTCCAACTAAAGTTTCCCGTTGTGTCGCGTGCGGGAGGATCTCTCTCTCTCTCTCTCTCTCTCTCTCTCTCGCGCGCGCGCGCACACAACCCTTTCATTCCCACCCCGCCCCATCATTTCTAGCACGCAGAGCAGCTTCCCCTGCCCCCCTTTTTCCCCTTCTTCTGCTCCCCATTCTCCAAATACTCTCCCGGTCCTTAATATAGGACTCAATTTTTGAGTTGGTTTTGGTCCTAAATATAAGACTCATTTCTTATATTTATCAATTTTCTCTAAATTACCCCTATAGATACTCCCTCAACCATAATCAAATAGAAGAAGGAGAAGGGTATTAAAAAAGATGATTGTGGTGTTTTAGGAAAAATGTGTCACTTTTCTTATAATTAACTAACTTACCTAATTTCCTTAATCTAATCAAATTAGTTAAATGGGTCTTATATTGAGGACCGGAGGAGTATTTTACTTTTACCCTTTTTTAATATATATATATATATATATAGAAAGACTTTTTTCCAACATATACTCTCTCGATTTTTATAAGGTATTTTTCATATTATTTTTATATTTGAGGATATAGGGCATTTTTTATAATTAATTAATGAGGTTTTCCTAAAATATCCCTAATGAATGTTCAGAACTAATGAGAGTTTCATATTTAATGTGATTACGTCACCTTATTAAGTGAGAATAAATATAAAATAAATAAATTCTTTTTTAGGCAAAATCAATATGAGGTTCCAAGAAAAAAATGAAGTCCACGAAAAAATTTTGTTAACAAATGATGAGCAGTATGGTCTTGTAGATGTCATTGTGTGCCTTCATTTGTTATGTAATTTTTTTATGATTACATTCATTTTTTAACACGTTGCATTTATTCTTTCTGATTTATAATGAAGTTAGTAATTTAGGGATGAAAGGTTGTTAAAGATGTGGTATAAATACTGTCAAAAAAAATATACTCCTCCGATGCTAATATAAGATCCATTTAAATAATTTGATTAGATTAAGAAAGTTAGGTAAGTTAGTTAATTATAAAAATATAACATATTTTTTTTAAAATATCATAATCATCTTCCTTAATATTCTTCCTCACTCTTTTACTTGATTATGATTGAAGGAGTATCAATAAGGATAATTTAAAAAAAAACTGATAAATATAAAAAATAACTCTTATATTTAAAATTAAAGTCAATTCAATAATTAAATCCTATAATAAATATCGGAGGAGTATGTTGCAGCCATATGATAAGTTGACATAATAATGTGCGCACCAAAACTGTAGGAGCCCAAATTATGGAAAAGCAATATGAAGTGGGAAAAGCTGAATTGCTGGCAGAGGCAATGAGATCTAAAATAATGAGAGAACAATAAATATATGAACCACTAATAGCTAGTCTCATTAATATTCATGATCCTACACCAGGTCAGGTTCTTTTGCTGCCGCCTGAAAGCGGTACGCAGTAATAATATTGCAAAATGCGAAACAAATTTCCAAAATCCGTACCAAGCAGGCAAGCACCTATACCCTCACTCATCAATATCGTGGCCCATTCTAACCCACCTCTATAAATGCGCCTCCTTATGCCTCTTCCCATAGTCCCAACCTCAACTGCCATATATCCCCAACCCTGCCCATCCGCGGCCAATATATTTTACAGTTAAAAATTCACAATTAATGTGACAGGAATCAGAAATTAATGAACAAATCTGACCAGCTGCTGAGATCAATTAGCTTACGTGAAATGGTTTGTTCATGTAGTAAAACACGAAAGCGATGGCGTTATTATTTCAATCCTGTTGCCGAAGTAATTGGGAGCATATGCACCCACACCAACACAACACAGCCCTGTTGCTTGGGGAAAGCAAGTTTTATTTGCACAAGATACGGCAAAGCCAAGTGCCTTGTTAACGCACTTTGATTAGTCAATACAATTAACTGGTAACGTACGTGGGTTCCGTGGATCTCTGTCACCTCATTTTAAGGGGGGCAAAAAAAAAAACCAAATTTGTACGTCTTTTGAATATTAGAATAGGATGTGGTTGATGATAATACTGTATTTGTGTGTGAACTGTGAAGAAGGAAGACGGGGATGGTGGTGGAGTTGGATGAGCGCCTAAATATTCAAAAAGTGGCCTAACACACACTCAACCAGAAGTCAATACTGAATTCGGGGGCTTATGTTAGGGTTTCCACCAACACGCCATGCTTCCACTATCTGTACAAGAAGGAACCATCTCCTCTTCTTCTTCCCTCCTTCTTCCCTTCAGATTTTTAGACCTAACCTCGATAATGCCGTGAGCCCGTTATTTCCAAACATTTTTTAAAGTTCCATTTTTCATTCAGGCGTAAATCTCAGCGTGCGGTCAACCCTCCACGCACACCATCACTTTAGAAACTTTTTTCCCTTACAACTCACATATTATTGTTTCTAAAATATTTTGTAATATATCTAATACATCAACCCTCCACGTACGTCAAATATTTTAAAATATTTTTTTAGTGAATCCGACACCCGACTCAATTTTTTTTTGATGCTAAATGCACCAAGACAGAAAAATATAATTTAGAGTGATAAACCACAAAATATTTTAAAATGTTAGATATATCTTTAAAAAAATATTTTGGATGGTAGATGCACTTCATCCTAATTTTTATTAGTACGGTTTTTTCAAATATATGGTTGAGACTTGAGGGCGTCGGAACCGGGGTCCGGGGAGGCAGGGACGGCATCTGTGACAGTGGAAAGTGTCGCCGGGGCCATCGCTTAGCCTGAGCGGGAACGTGCGTCCCTAACTTTATGTATGACGTGGCCGTTCATCGGTTCCCGCGAATTTACTTTTTAAAAAATAGAGTAACTTGTTAAATAGAGCAGAATAAAAAGGGAAAAAATTAAAAAACCAAAAAGTAAATGTGTGGAGGAAGAAAAAGAGGGAGGCGATGTCCAATCAGATTTTCGGCCGAGGCCGTTGATTGCGGTTGGGAATAAAGCGCTCTGACATGGGGACGGCCCTTTTTGACCACATCTTCCTTCGTCATTTTCTCTTCCCCATTTTTATCTCCAAATAAGTAAAACTTACACATATTTCTCAATGATTCCTGCGATTAAAATAAGCTAGAAAAATGACCAGAGTTATCGGAAGATATTACAGGAGTACCACAGGGCATTGTCGGTGGGCACAAACAAACATAGCGAATTAGAAACAGAGGAGCGATGCATGGGTTAACACTGTGGGTTGTCGGGTAATCGAATCCTGGCTACAGGTCAATCCTCTGTGACCATGTTTCCCAGAACCCAGGTTACACCATTTCTCCACGTATCACTCCTCCATCTTCGTTTTCTTCCCTCATTTCTGCAGTAATATTTCCGGTTTTAATTATAAAAATTAGTTAACTAATTTAAAAAGATTAAAGAAATAAATTAAATTAATTATTTGTAATAAATAAGTGTTGTCTTTTCTAAAATATTCTTGCTAATCAAGTATATTAGCTAGAACTACCATTATTAGAATGACTATCTTATAAAAAATATATAAATATGATAGACAAAGTGGATTGAAGTATTATATTTGGGACCAAAATAAAAATCAAACAAGATCGTATATTAAGTATCGGAGGTAATATATATACAGCCAGCTATATATGTGTATGTAATCACTTACTAGTCAACTAATTAGTTACTACTTGTGCGTCTACCATGCTAGGGAACTGGCTGCAACCAAATATTCCACGCAATATGCCATGAATGATGGTGTAATTGCATAATCAAATTCAACGCACATCCAATTCTGCTTGGACTTAGTTGGCAAAGCAGAAAATTTCAACTCTGTGCATGTTTTTATGCATCGGAGTGTTTTGTAGACTCAGATTCGTCCATGCACACCTGGAATCCCAGAACAAGTTAAAAGAACTGTAGATTTGGGCTCCATTTGAAGAATTTTTTTGGGGCAGCTAGCAGAATTTGAAGAAACAGAGGTATCTCGGTATTTTAATTAACAGAGCCACTTGTTTAGTTCTGGTTTGGGGTTAACACTAACAGCGGAACAAGTTCCACGTGTACCTTGATCTCATGCAAGATAATGATACTGTTTAGTTTTCGTGCATTCATCAAATTAGTAAGGTGATCATTATGTACTCTGGAACAAAAAATTGGACATTAAAATAAACGAGAAGGCATGTGGGCGGGTAAGGGAACGCAAATTATGGAGCTGCATTTTTCTTGTGCATCGAGCCGCGAACAATCAGAAGAACACGGAACGGCGCCACGATCGTTTGAGTTCTAAATTAACTAATATTTTACCTCTTCATTAAACTGACTTTGACTAATATTTATATTTTACCACTTAATTGGGCCAATACCTAATTGCCACACAAGAAGCAAGTCATGTGCTCTCAAAATGGGGCACTATGGTAATTTCGCAGTGTGGACCTTTGAACCCGAGTTTCGTTTCAAATTCTGACTTTTTGACTATTGTTGTCCCTTTAACTCCTTTGAGTTTATTCTGGGTTCTCGAACTTCAGTTCAAAATGCTCCTCAACACCACAGGGTCCACAACCCAAATCCCCCATTCAGACCGCTTGTTTGCCCCGAAACTCCCTTTTATTTTTTTTATTTTTATAGTTTTTTCCCCTCCTACCCGAAAGCGCAGAGCAGTAAATGTTATTTCTGAGTCCTGACTACTGCTTTACCTCCTCACCGACCTCCTTCCTGCAAGTCCCACATGGCATTGTTCCTTTCTCGACCATTTCCAGCCGCTTCAAAATACCCTAAAGATAAGGAAAATTAAAATAATAAGAAAAATGACAACAAAGAAACTTAATTTATTTATTCACTGTCAATTTCTTGGTTCCTTGATACCTTCCTTTTCCGCTATATAGATAGCGCCTCGATCCCCCTAGTTTCTCAGTACCTGTACTCTCTCTCTCTCTCTCTCTCTCTCTCTCGCTTGCTCTCCCCAGATCCCTAACCTTACCCGCATTGCCCTTTTCTCTCTTCTTTTCCCTGAATTAGTGGGGAGGGCAATGAGCTTCTGCTTCCTGCTCTGAATTTTGCTGCACAGGAAACCCAGTTCCTCCTTTCTCTGTTTTACTCGCCCATCAAAAACATTCTGCTGTGTTTCATCTTCAATCATCATGATCCATCTTGCAAAATTCGTTTCTCTGTCTCCTTTTCTTCTGCTTCTATGCTTACCACTGGTTCTTGCCGCTCATGACTACGGCCAGGCTCTGAGCAAGAGCATTCTCTTCTATGAAGCACAAAGATCTGGTATTCTCCCTCACAACCAGAGAGTCTCATGGAGGGGTCATTCTGGTTTGCACGACGGCAAGACAAGCGGGGTAAGTTGTTTCTGCTCAGTTCCTCCCTTATTCTTAACTTAACTCCAACAATGTGAATGGATACTCGTATGCTCTGCCATTTCCGTACTGTTTATTATACTCACACTGAAATGAAATTGAATCAAACGGTTCATTAGCAGCAGTTCTCCTTAATTTTCTTTTGGGATCAATACATGTTGAGCTTATGGGGTTCGTTTTCGCGGCAAATTGCAGGTAGATCTAGTTGGCGGGTACTATGATGCAGGGGACAATGTGAAGTTTGGTTTGCCCATGGCATTCACCGTTACAATGATGTCGTGGAGCGTCATAGAGTATGGCAAGCAAATGGCTGCAAACGGCGAGCTTGGCCATGCCATGGAAGCCATCAAGTGGGGCACTGACTACTTCATCAAAGCCCACCCAGAACCCAATGTTCTCTACGGAGAGGTACCTTCCCCAATTTTCCCATCTTCAGCCACCGAATTTAGTTTCCTCGGTCATTGTAATTCACAATAACTTGTCAGTTTTAACAAGCTGAAGTTGAACCGCGAGGAATCTTATGTTAGTTGATCTTCTTGTTTTGATAATTTACGATACGATTAGGTGGGAGATGGTAACAGTGACCATTACTGCTGGCAAAGGCCCGAGGACATGACAACCGACCGAAGGGCCTACAAGATTGACTCCAGCAATCCCGGGTCGGATCTCGCGGGAGAAACAGCCGCCGCAATGGCCGCTGCATCCATTGTCTTCCGACGCTCGAATCCGGCTTACGCCGCCGAGCTGCTCCACCATGCTTATCAGGTCCGTTCGACCCACGCTCTCTTTTTCAATCCTAACTTTTAGCGAAAAGTTACTGAATTTATTTAATCAATTAACCATTTAAACGCTAACTGAGGCCCTACCTTTACAATCAGCCCTTGGTGAAAAGGGGAGAGTGAGAGAGATAATGTGGTAATTAATGTAAAGTAAAAACACAAAGCGTGGTCCGCGTGGGTTAGCATTTTGCAGGGAGCGAAGCGGTTGGGAGTTCGAGTTTTAATAGGCAGTTACGCTTTTACGGTTCTTGTGTCAGTGTGGTTGCTGGAGCATGCAGGACGTGGTAGAGGCACATTTATGGTGAATTCACTTTGGTAGGATTAAAAAAAATTAAAAAAGGAAGAATTTAATAAAGAACCGACACACTGGAGTGGGAAAAGAAAAAAAAGAACAACACTAGTTTCACTGAAAAAAAAAGAAAAAGAAAGAACAATAGCATAGTGCTTTTTTAATAAGCGCAAGATCTTGAGTTTGATCCGCGTGTAATTTTAGAATATTCGTCCTCTAGTTTAAAAAAGTGGAGTTAAAAAAAATATAAGATTCACCTTTTTAATTAATTTTATTCCCACCGGGTGAATTGCTAATTTTTTAAAGTTCTATCTTTGATTTAGATAAAGTTTATCATTTTATATGAATATGATTCAAAGCACAGAGGAAATTCAGGCGGGGAAAATAAAAAAACACAAAGGAACTTGGGAACAGATAAAGACGTGCTTATCTTTTTTATCTATTATCTTTATTTCCTTTTGTGGGGTCAGAGGCAAAATTTACGGATTTGCGGGCGGGAGTGTTTAAGCACTGTTTATACGAACCGAACTGTCTGAATTGTGAGGCCCGGATCTCTTTGCGGTACGGAGCCTAACGGTCCTCGTGAACGAGATTCACGAAAAAAAGCCCACTTGGTTAGCACGTGCAAAACTGTCGGTGTTTATCTTCTTAGCGTCTTGGCTTGTCAGATCAGACCCCATATCGAGCTATAACTAACTAGCTAGCTACTAGGTGCTTTTTCTTGTCGGCTAGTGAAACAAGACTGAAAAATTAAGAACAACTAATATAATTTCACACTACATGTTTGTACATGACTCACGAAATTAATCTCACTGTTGTGGTTTTGTTCTATTTCAGCTATTTGACTTTGCAGACAAATACAGAGGCAAGTACGACGGCAGCATCACTGTTGCCAGAAAGTATTACCAATCCATCAGTGGCTACAACGTAAGTAATATAAGCTATTGTCCGCAGACTCTTGTTGCAATTATTTGGTAAGTTCTGTTAGCTGAAGAAATGAGTGTGTATATATGTGCAGGACGAATTACTGTGGGCTGCTGCATGGTTGTATCAAGCAAGTAACAACAAATATTACTTAGACTACCTCGGAAGAAATGGTGATTCCATGGGTGGAACTGGCTGGTCCATGAATGAATTTGGATGGGACGTCAAGTACGCCGGTGTTCAGACTCTGGTAGCCAAGGTAATTTAATAACACAGATAGTTTTTTCTCTGAGGATTTGTTAGACACAAGTGAAAAATAAAGTGGTGAATTAATTTATGTGCTTCTGATTGCAGTTCTTAATGCAAGGCAGAGCTGGTCATAATGCAGCAGTGTTTGAGAAATACCAAGAGAAAGCAGAGAACTTCATGTGTTCATGCCTTGGGAAGGGAACTCGCAACATGCAGAAGACACCTGGTGGACTAATTTTCCGTCAAAGATGGAACAACATGCAGTTTGTGACAAGTGCCTCCTTCTTAGCCACCGTCTACTCCGACTACCTCTCCTCTTCCCGCCGATACCTGAGATGTCCTTCCGGCAATGTCCCTCCTGCTCAGCTTCTGTCCCTTGCTAAGTCTCAAGTGGACTACATTCTTGGAGACAACCCTAGAGGCACCAGCTATATGGTGGGTTATGGAACCACCTTCCCTCAAAGGGTTCACCACAGGGCCTCCTCCATTGTCTCCATCAAGGTTAATCCTACATTTGTCACATGCCGTGGAGGTTATGCTACTTGGTTTAGCAAGAAATCAAGCGACCCCAATCTACTTACAGGTGCAGTTGTTGGCGGACCAGATGCCTATGATAACTTTGCTGATGAAAGAGATAACTATGAGCAAACTGAGCCTGCAACCTACAATAACGCTCCTCTCATTGGTATCCTTGCTCGACTGAGTGCTGGCCATGGTGCCTATGATCAGCTCCTTCCAGGTATTGCTGCTGTTTTTGTAAGGACTTCTAATTTGTTCGCTTTGTGGATATTTGGTAAGCATTTACTAATCAAGCACAATTTCTTCCTTGCAGTTGCTGTTCCCGCCCCTAAACCTGTCATCACCAAGCCACAACCAGCTCCCAAACCCAAGGTTACTCCGGCTCCAGGTACTTGTTTCGGTCTTTTTGCATTATGCATTCATCATAATCACATGTTTTGCTCAATTTTCTTGAGTGAGATTAAAAAAACTGACCTAGGAACCCCTCTCGCAGCTTCATCTTCTAGTCCAATTTCGATCCAGCAGAGGATGACGACTTCCTGGGTTGCCGGTGGAAGAACTTACTACAGGTACTCAACTGTGGTGACTAACACATCTCCCAAGACTCTCAAGTCTCTCAACCTTTCGATATCTAAGCTTTATGGTCCAATCTGGGGCCTCACAAAGGCAGGCGATTCCTATACTTTCCCATCATGGCTCAACTCTCTGTCAGCTGGTAAGAGCCTGGAGTTCGTGTACATTCATTCTGCTTCTCCAGCGGATGTCTCTGTTGCCAAATATTTGCTGGCCTGAAAAACACCAACTTCATCAAAGTGAGGTTGGTTTGGTTTCTGTGGTGTTGTGTAAGAATTGTGCAGCCGGTACGAAAAGTGCAGTGGGGAGAAGCTCTTTTCGTTTTCTTTTTCCTTTTTGAGCCAAGTTTACTTCTTCACTTGTTTCTGTTGCCTTCTACTAGGAACTTAGAACATATCATCTTTAGGCCAAATAAGATGTAAGGTCTGGAGAAGAAAGGAGTGAAGAGACAACAAGACAAGTGCTCATCCTCTTTCTCCTCCATCTCACAGCTTATATATAGAGTGAGCGATACAAGAAAGAGACAGCCACAAGAGAGTGTTGAGAAGTGAAGTGAAGAAAAGAACTTCTCAATATTTCAAGGCGCCATTACTTGTATTTCCAAACAGCTTTGTACGTCCTTTTGTGTTGTGATGTTGTAAGCTTTGCAACATTCTTCTACTTTTTATGGAAATAGTTTGTGCAATAGGTTTGTACCTTTATGCTTCGTTTGCATACTTGCTTACAATAGAAATTTGTGTTATGCTCCAAGTTTGTTCAAAGGATTTATTCGCAAATCTGCAAGCGATATAATCAATTGTCATCCAATTTACAGTTTGCCGGCAATTTCACGAGCAGATCCGGGACTTGCAAGCTAAAACCTTCATAATTAATTGTGATTTTGTGAGCTGCTCGCATCCAGTCAATTCCAACTCATATTGAAATATGGCAATCCAGTAGTCTGTCATCGTTAAAAAGTGAGAGCTTTGCTCTGGTATGCTCAAGAAAGCCTTCCAGGGGGTTTGTCTAGATTAATTTTGGTAAAAAGTCATTTAGTTTTGCGAAGAAAAGTCTAAATAAAGAGAAAATGATTTTCGAGAAAAAGGCAATCGAGCCATAAACCATGCTACGCATCATCAAAATGCCTGAATTAGCTTTTTAATTTTCACAAGGAAGTTTGCTGCTTCAGACCAACCAAAATCGTATAATATGGCATGCCATGGCATATCATACACTGTCACTTATTAATTGCTATTCCCACCAAGTAACGAACTCATTGGCTTCTGTGTATCGCTGGCCCTTATAATCATTAATCAGTATCATCAATCATAATAAAACTCTGAACCAGCTATTTTATTCATAAACTATAAATTGCATACTTATTTAAAATAAAGATGTGCACTAGGCACACTTCTCATGTTGACATTTCGATGAAATTTGAACCGAGTAAAATTTCTTTTCTAAGTAAATTTCAATAACATTTCATTAATATACTTTTCTGATTATAAATATAACACTCATTTTGTGATATAAATTACACAATAAAATAGATTTTATATTTAGAATTAATATTAAAAGAACTGGACCATTTTGATCTTATTGTGTGTTCATATAAGGGGGTGGAAACCCCGGCCAACAAACGGGTCCGGTTTTGGCGCTCATTAGGTGATGAGCAACATGGACCGTCCAGATCTAATTTGGATGGTCCAGATTTAATGTTTTTAAATAGAAAAATTATTTTTTTAAGGAATAATAGTTAAAAGATTATTTTTATTTTTTATTTTATACCCATTAAAATAATTATTTTAAAAAAATGAAATTAAATTTGAATGGTCTAGATCTGGTGTATAAAATAAAACTCATTCCCCAACAAAATTTAAGGGGGCAAAAAGCGATACCTTTTGGTGTATAGAAGAAAAAAATCATTGCGCAACATAAATTTGGACTAGCCAGATTCAATTGAGCCCGATTATTGAGGCCCAAAACTGTTCGGGGCTCCACAGCGGACTGCCGGCCACCTCCAGCGGCCAACGGGGAAAAGTGGTGTGTTGCAGAGGGGAGGCTTCGAGATTGAGATCCTCAAGTCAGATTGAGGCGCCATTTTTTCTGCTTCCTGAGTATCTCCCTTTCGTCTTAATCTACGTTTTATGCCCACTTAGGTAGCTGCGTTGCTTAGATCGGAGTGGACGGATTTGTGCAGAGGTCAAACGGGAGTTATTTGGGGAAAGCACAGAGATGAGCACCCATTTGGATTTGGTGACACTGTGCATGGAGGCCGCGTGTGAGAGCATAGAGAGCGTCGACAAATGGAGAAGGCAGAGGCGTAGTCTGGAGCGCTTGCCCTCTCCTCTAGCCGATGCTCTGCTCCGCCGCCTCCTCAGCCGCCGCCTCCTCTACCCTTCCCTCCTTGAGTATGCCCCTTTTCTCAACTTTTATTTGCTTTTGAAGGTCGATACATAAATTACACTCCGCATTGGATTCCAAAAGTCTCTCTTCAGTCATTAAGAGTTGTAATTTATGTCAATATGTTTTAACTTCTGCCATTCCTTTGCAATGTGAAATCGATGAAACGATAAAGCTATTTAGTTTATGCGTTCTGTTTGACTTTAATTGGTGCCAATCCAGAAGAAATGAAATAAATGTTCTAATTGAGATATAATATGAGGAAATAATGATCCGGCGCCGGGCTTTCTGTCGTATGAATATAACCACAATTTCCAATAAATACATTATCTACCTCGCCCTTTGATTGCTAAAACGAGATGAAAACACAGAATTTTATTATGCTTCATATTTGGAGATGTTCGTTTTCTTCTCTTATCACTAGGCAATGCATGTTTTGGAAAATAAGATTGAAACTGAGTTATTTTCCTATCCAAAATTCCATTTTTCCTATTCGCAGAGTTTTCAAACACAGTGCTGAGGAGATTGATGTCAGAGGCGAAAACTCTGTGGACGCGGAGTGGATGGCATATTTAGGTGCATTTCGCCACTTGTGTTCCTTGAATGTTGGAGGTTGCCATAGAATCACCAGTTCAGCCCTATGGGCCATTACAGGTTTCCTTAATAGCTCTGCGTTGTAAAGAATATGAAGCTATCATATCTTTCGGGTCAAATGGTTAAGCGGTAGTTTATACTAATTCCGGTCCTTAATATAAGAGCTAGTTGACTAATTTAAGTAGATTAAGGAAATTTGTTTAGTTAGTTATTTGTAATATATAGATCTTGTTTTTCCTAAAATACCTTTACTAATCAAGTGTATTAGCTAGAATTATTATTACTGTAAGGACTATTTTGAAAAAAAATGGATAAATATGAGAGAGTGGACTGTGATCTTATATTTAGAACTAAAATAAAAGTCAAACAAACTTTTATATTAAGGACCGGATGTAGTATTAAAGATATTGAACTAAAGATTTACTCTGAACGATTGCTGAAATCATATTAGAAACATTTGTTTAATATGCTTATCTAATAAAGGGGAAACTTTGTTAATATCCTATTGATTCGTGCAAAAGGGGTGACTGCTCGACATGCATGACTGATCCTCCTGATGTTTTATCGGTTTTAGGAATGACTAGTCTACAGGAGTTGGATCTTTCAAGATGCTCGAAGGTCAATGATGCTGCTATTAAGCACATTCTTTCCTTAACAAATTTGGAGAAGTTACACATTGCTGAAACTGGCGTGACAGCCGGAGGGGTCAAACTTCTTGCATCCCTTAAAGCCCTGTCTCTTCTTGACTTGGGTGGTTTACCTGTAAATGATGTGGCCTTAAATTCTTTACAGGTAATTTTCTTTCAGTATTGGATTGATCCAGAAAATCAGGCATTGTAGCATGAGCCATTTACATGTATTTCTAAGAAACTGGTATGTTACTTTTTGATGGACCATATGTTGATTTTGAGCCCAGCGTGTTCTGGACAAAATAGTTTGTTTTACATTTTATTGTCTTTCCTGCTTAGTTTTGATTCCATATTCCATTGCAGGCTTGGGTTTCTATTATACATTGTTTGTTTTTCATTGAGCATGTATTATATGCTTTACCAGTTTCTGTTGGCATTTATCATCAGTAGTGCCAGTTCTCAAATTATAAATATAAGCATAATCGTCTATTCACTTTTTAATCTCACCTCACTCTTTCTTTTTACAACTATATCAGGTGCTGAAAAAGCTACAATACCTGGACCTTTGGGGTAGTCAAATTTCAAATGAAGGTTCTGCCATTCTGAATATGTTCCCCAAGTTAAGCCATCTAAATCTTGCTATGACCAGTGTTACAAGATTGCCTAATCTATTATCTCTTGAATGTTTGAACATGACTAATTGCACTATTGACTCAGTACTTAAAGATGGTAAAGCTCCTTTGGCAAAGCTTGTTCTTTCTGGCGCTACGTTTCTGAACGAAGCTGATGCCTTATTGCATCTAAATACTAACTTCCTATCTTTTTTGGATGTATCAAATTCTTGCCTTCACAATTTCTTCTTCTTAAGTAAGATGAGAGTAATAGAACATCTGAATCTCAGCTCATCTATGATTGGAGATGATTCAATTGAAATGGTTGCTCTTATTGGTGGAAACTTGAAAAGCTTGAATCTCAACGGTACTAGAGTTAGCTCTGCTGGAGTGGGAATTTTGACTGGACATGTTCCCAGCCTTGAGATTCTGTCATTATCTGAGACACCAATAGATGATGCTGCCATCTCATATATTGGCATGATGCCTTCGTTAAAGGCTGTGGACCTGAGCCATACAATCATAAAAGGTATGATCTGTTTGATGTATTTGCTTATGTTTAAGTTCGTGTTTTGCAATATATGCAGTGGCTTAAATATTCCTCTGATCCAGTTGCATCAAGCTGATAAATAGCCTGATATCTGTAGCCATTTGCGGTGCTCTGCTCACATTATCATTCTTTTCAAGTTGATAGGTAGAACCACTGGAAGTGTTGGAACATTTTTGTTTATCCTAAGCATTGACTCGGTCTGAGAATTTTTTTTTTTTATCCTCCACATTTCTTATTATGGCCCTTTTGATGCCTTTATTTCTGCTTTTTAACTTGGAGGAATAATATTTGTTGTTAGTTTACATAACCTTGATCAGATAGTTTCTCTTACCAATAGTGATTTAACAGTGGTGCTGCTTGCTCAAGGTCTGTCTTCTCGTTACTAGATCTTTAAAATTCTTTTCTGTGCTTTGGACTCAGGATTTATGCATCAGGAAGAGACTCAACTAGATGCTTCTCTCTCTCTGACAGCCCTACAGGATCTTAAACAATTGGAAAGGTTGAATCTGGAGCGCACACTTGTTAGCGATGGAGCTTTATGCCCTTTGTCAAGCTTCCAACAGCTGAGATACATCTCTCTGAAAAGCACTTCGCTGGCTGACATTTCCCTATATTATTTGTCAACAATTCCTAAACTGATAAGTCTTAGCATATGTGATGCCATATTGACAAATCATGGACTTGAAACTTTTAAACCTCCGGCGACTTTGAAATCAATGGATCTCTCTGGCTGTTGGCTTTTGACAAGAGACGCTATCTTATCATTTTGTAGAATTCATCCTCAAATTGAAGTAAGACATGAATGGGGTACCGAATTGCCTAATGACCGAAACACGCCTGATCGGCCTACTTCATCTCGATTGCCTTCAAGGTCTGTGCAAGGGATGAAGAAGAAAGAAACCATGGCCGTGTCTCCAAGTTTTATAGGTAATTTTCTTCAGACCATCTTAATGTGGAAGCGTAGACAACCGTATCTAATTAGTTTCATTTGTTCTGAAATAGATCAAAGAGTGAAGTATACTAGAGACGAGTTACTTGCATTGCAGTCCATGTCCTTGGTCAGTGCGTTTGATGACGAGAGAGACACTGGAGTGTCTGAGAAGCGATTAGAGTGAGGTGGGCCATTTTTCTCCCAGACCATTGTATATGTTCGTGGCCTTTATAATTTTGTTCTCTCTGTTCATGTTTGTATCTGCCGCTGACTAATCTGTAAGCATGTCCGCTGTGTATGTAACCCGGTTCAAATTAATTTTTTTCTTGTCATCTTAATTGAGCGCTATTAGTATGCTTGCCTCTCAAGTCTTGATGAACAATGGGATTGTAGATTATATCCTTTGCTGTCAAGTTTAACAAAGGCATGCCTTGGGACCCGAGCTTCCTCTTAAATGCATGATTTGTTTTTATTGAACGTTGAATGTGTCAACTTCAGGACGAAAATTCTCATCCCAACGAAAGATGCCCTATTGATTATTGAGGGATGTCCCGAATTTACAAGGTTTTTAATTGCAGCAGTTTCGTTATCAACATTACGAAGTACCACATCGATTTTTGCCCCAGGGATGGGTTACATGGAAGCAGTCAGACAAGCAATTCAATTCAATTTCGCCTATTATTCGTGTTTCGCTAGTTTCTGGGATCTGAGGAGATGAGATGATCCTATTATGATTTCCAAGTAAACAATTAAAAATGAGACCTTGAACAATGTCCCGTTTTGATCAAGTGCTTTCGGTTTCTTTTAATATTTATAACAGGATTAATACCATTTCTGTTTTCTGAAATTTGACTTTATTTAAATCCACTTAAAGATTTTTAGTTTTTTTTAAGGACTAAAAGCATCAGTTTCAGGCTTTAGAGGTCAAAACCATTCGTTTCATATTTCAGGAATTAAAAATGATATTAATTCTGTATAATATTAATGTAAATTTACAGTGATTGTTATAAAATTACTTTTGTTTATTACCAACCAATTGCGTCAGCCTATTAAACTTCTCACACTGATATTCAATTTAACAATTTTTTTTTTGGGAAAAATCACGAAGAATAGAAGTTCGGCGCAAAAATAGAAGCCAAAACTTGAGATTACTCGTGTTACCGTCAAACCATAGCTTATACATTTAGTACTTTTAGACTGTTCACATATTTTTGCTTCGGTTACAAAATAACCCTAGCACTACAAATTTCTTCTCTTGCAATACATAATCGGTTTACCTGAACGCAGGCATATTTTGGAAGAGAATATAAGAATTTATTTATACCATTTCTTTGTCTGTTTTTTTTTTTCCGGTCACCCATTCTTCTGTATAAATACGTGTTTTGTGAATTCATTTTTATAAATCCTGGTTAACAAAAAAAGAATTCATTTTTATAAACACAGAAAATCCAATTGGAAAGTATAGAGTCTACACAAGGAAATAATGATACAAATATACTGACTAGTCCATCAAGTCTCCAATCAAATTGCAGACAGCAAATAATCTGAGTTGCCCCATGAGCCTAGGCTCTGGGTTTACTTCCACTTTTGTACATGTTATCAATGATATTCTGCACATGAAAGGAAATTTGTCAGTGCTCTCAAACTTTTCCTTCTATTTGCCTCCCAAATTGAAACTCCGAAGCAATACCAATAACATAATGGCTTAGTTTCAAAGCCTACAGATTCATGCACTATTATTTTTACAAATTACGTGTTTATGATCTATTCCCCGTTGCGTTAGCATGCAATTAAGTACCTCTCATCTAATACAGAAATTACCCAGAGCCTAACTGTACCTCTCTAAATGTCAGGTTCACATCCCTGATTGCACATGCATTCAAGTTCACAGGCTTATCTGCTATGCAAGCATGTCGCAGATAGACAATCCTCACTTTCTATTTGTTCATCCATGAGCATCTTTGTTTTAAAGTACCATCAGTTTCTTCTTTATAATGACACATGCAGCCGTGATAGTGTGCCCCTATCATATCTTACGCCCTCTCAACAATTCAATTAAACCAAAAATTATTTCAAGTATGGTAGGTAACGGTATATTACTGACACGTAATAGCTGCAGCAGTAACAGCTGTTTACAATCATAAGTGTTTCCTTCCACTACAGGGCAATGCATAGTGTACAAACATGTTGGTCTGGTCAAACTAACTAGTCTTGGCTCATTCTGGCTTTTATTTATACTTTGCAGGGTGGTATGACTCAAACTTAGGAAAGGGGTAAAGCGTGGTGAAATTTCCAATTCAAGGAGCAAAACTTCAAAGATCAGCTCAAAAAAAAAAAAAAGGAGCAAAACTTCAAAGAGAAATCCTGAAAACACGAGTATCTACCTGGTAGTATTTGAGCATCTGGGGCCTCTTCTTCTTATAAGTTGGCGTGATAAGGTCACGTTCCATGTCAAATGGCACAGGATCGAGATGAACTGCTCTTATAAACTCAAAACCTTTCAACTGCCAAACATATTCAGGATCCAAGAAAGATTTTGTGCCACAGCATGTGTGAGTATGCGCGCTGCATGATAAACGATGACTGAAAAAAAAAAAATAAATAAATAACTTGACCAACCTTCTTTTCCTTTGCAATCTTTGTGAGCTCTTCAAGGATGAAACTTTTAGCTCTAGAATCTTCACACAGAGAATTGAAGTCCTTGGTTATACCATTTTCTTCTGCCCAACCTTCAAGAGCTTCTTTCTTGGGGTTAACAATTGCAACAAGGAAGGACTCAAAGCTGTTTCCATAGACCCATATCTGAAAAAGGAAGCACGACAAAGTGGATATATCACAGCATGAAAAAAGCACATTTTCAGCTCATTAGAGGAACCTGAATCTTGAAACTTGAATTATTATTTTTGCACTAAATTAAACCTGATGATATGTTTTTTGATCCGAACTAGGGTTGACTCCCATGCAATTAAATGAAACCCAAGATGTCCATAACTGATTAAGGCGTGTAAACAGTGCTATTCCTACACTTTATATATTTAATATTGACATTGATTGATTGATATTGATGACACAAATAATAGTAAAACCAAACGCTGAAGACTAATCTTGAATAGGACTGATGGTTATATTGAGACACAGAATCATGATACTAACTTATCATTTCCTGGTCATAGCCATGCAGTGGCTAATTAGGTGTTATTACTGTGGAAATAGATTTTTTAAAAAAAAAACTAATTTTAAATGCAGTATATAGATACATGATTAATGGTTCAAACAAGAAACAGCCATGTATTTTAAATGTTTGTGCACGCAAGAAAATTATCATGCTTTTATTAAGCTGCAAACAAATGGGACTCAGTTCGCTGCTTACATCAAGTTAAATCAAAAGACAGTCTCAGAAGTCATGAGAGGCATATAACTCTGCAGAATCACCGAGCACATGTAGTTCTTTTTTTTAAAAAAAAAAAAACAGAAAAGAAAAGAAAAAAAAAATTTCCTTCTCTTTTTCTTTCGTTTGGCCAATATTGAGCTCATGTAGTTTGAGCACATGTAGTTTGAACAGAATATATATCGCCTTCTATATATTTTTCCAGCTGTGTTTGGGAAACTTAAAATTATGTGCCAGAGGTCGAGCTCCAAAGCAGTCAAATTCAGGACTTACAGATTCAACAGCAGAAACTTGACTATAAATGTTCTCCAAGTTTTCAACGGCAACATATTCTCCTTGTGAAAGCTTAAATATATTCTTCTTCCTGTCAATAATTTTCAGGCTTCCATCAGGTTGCCATTCTCCAATATCCCCTGTTGAAAGAACATTTATGAATCAAATCAACAAAGTAAACCAATTGAACAGAGTATTCCCACATCAATTCTGGAAACCATTAAAAACAAAAAAAACAAAAAACTAACCAGTATGGAACCATCCATCAATCAACACCTCATTTGTGAGGTCTTCTCGTTTGTAGTACCCAGAAAACACGGTTTTTCCCTTAAGACATACTTCTCCTCTTGGTGTGCTTGCAAGCGCATCATATCCCATTTCAGGAACAGATTGTAGACAAACATCTATATTTGGCACAGGAGGGCCCACTGTACCAAGCATTGCTGTCTCATTTGGTAATGAGACAAAGGATCCTCCAAGGGTTTCAGTCAAACCTATTTTCATTGTGAAAAACACTCACTGAGATCCATATTATTATATGATGAAAAAGTCTAAAATATTTGATTTTCAAAAGACCCAAAAAGTGCATATTTTGATAGGAGCATATGAAGATCTAGTGCAAACAAATTTACACACGAAAGTAAAATAAGTCTCTTGGACACACACAGAGAAAGCGGCTAAGTCATTAGAAAAACTTCAATATGGGAAGAGGGAGCCAGGGAGGTCATCTTTGTTAGGCAGTACTACCATCATCAATGTATTGATATTTTTAACAAGCGAAAGAACACATTAATTGTAATGTAAATCAATAACTTATATGCTCCTGCAATATCCCAATAAAAAGACATAAGCCACTGTAGGTTCTTAGATAGCTGTATTTTTAACTGTAGAATAGATCAGTAAATAGACAACAGTCACAAAAAGATCATCATCGTTGACCAAATTGTCAAAGCTAGTCAAGCTTCAGAATTTTTTTAATAAACATACATCATCATTATCACCATAGTATGAGAAGTAAAGTTCAAGATTTTAACAAGAGATACCATATCCTTGTATGACATGTGCACAAGACACCACCCGGAGGAAAGTTTCTACATGCGTAGATAGAGGTGCCCCTCCAGAGAGAATAAGACGTACATTGCCCCCCAAACCTTGCTTTACCTGATTAAGTTTCAAGAACTCATTAGTTAAAAAGATATAGCAACATGTTTACAGTTACTCTTACTAATTGCGTGGGGACTCAAATGTATATTTCTGCTACCTTATTAAACACAAATTTGTCAAAAAGTGGAGCTGCATCTTGATTCTTTAGACCTTTCTTCAAGTTATTCAACTTGCTGCAGCCAAGTTTCAGAATAAATTAACAATAGACTGACGCAATTTCTACCAAGGAATCATGAATAATTATATACCGTAAGCAAAACTTTAACAAAAGAAACGGGAAAAAACTAGGCTAGATGAAATTTGTGTGAATGAACACTTCTTATTTCAATAATGGTGAGCCTATGAGGTGATGGCAGTTCATTACAGATTTATCACAGCTTAAGACTCAGATATAATGTCACAAAAACACATATCACTTACTATGAGTAAGCAAAATTAAACAATGTCTGCTTCAAGAAGCCTCCAGCAGAAATCTTCTGTGTCAAACCTGTGTATCAAATGAAGATTGAGATTCTTAATTCACAATTTTTATTGGGAAGGAAATGTTCAATTAAAAAATGGGAAAGAAAAGAGAAGACCAGTAACCTACAAAAAATTTATGTGGCTGTTTTTCCCTTGAGCATTTTTTTTTTTAACACCTACATAATCA